ATTTATCCAATTTGGATCATTTTTCTGGTGTCGTTATGTCTATGAATGTTGCCTATGAATGTTTAACTTCATCGGTTAACTCTCGCGCTTCGAATTTCATGTAATTTACTTATTTTAAATCTAAATAATTGTCAATACATCACTTCCTTTCATATCAATGACCATTCAGTTCTCTATTTACTCTATGAGGAGCCGAAAACCGAACACGTCTTTGAATTGTTCGGCAAAGTTTGGCCTATTTCTCAAATGATTATTTATTTACTTTAGCTCCAACTACACTAAAAATCTTCACTTTTTCATAAATGCATACTTTCGATTAACTCATTTTGTTTGAACGCACCAAGTAGTGATTTATATTAAGGCCCTTTTTGAATCGAGGTTAATTATCACGTTTCACTTTTCGCAGATAAAGAGGCGCTTTCTGAATTGCTTCCTTCTGGCGCCAAGAAGGCTCTCCTAGATTTATCTGATCCTCTTTCACCTGGATCCCCCCCCGTAATTGCTGCTCCAAGCCCTGCAGGTGTTCCTATAGCAACCTGTAATTCGAGTGCCGGTGGGACAGAAGCTGGTTCACCAAGCGTCGATGTTGCCGATCATTCTACGACTTCAGGACAGACAAATGGTGCCTCATTAGCAGGGCCAATTGCGATGGTTGTGGCGGGTGGAAGCGAAACTGGAGTCGGTTTGGCAAGTATGGGGTCTTCAGTTAGTGCGAGCACAATTGTCAGTGGTGATCTAAGCCCTTGGATGACACCTTCTAAGTGTAGTGGAGGCGATTCGAGCTCTAGTGTGACGCCAAGTAAAAGCAGCTTCTCAGATACCTCGAGCCCTCGGAAGGATTTTTCTGGACGTCGAATGGATCCTGAGCGACGCCGAAAACTTCGGTAGTTTTTCATCCTTATTTTTAAAGATACGGCTTTCATATAGATGACCCTAGATATCTCTGATTAGGTTATTAAAATACTATTTAAACTTTTCGGTTCAAATTGGATAGATTTTTATTTGCATTTACAACTTGGTTTGATTGTAATTGGATTATGTTCGAACATTTTTACAATTTTATTCATACTGTCTGTATGCATATAAAAGAAAAGCAGGGGAAAATAAGATTGTGATATTCTTACAATTTTCTTTTTCCAAGCATTTCTTTAAACTCATAAAATTTGATTCTTGCAAAATTAGTTTTCTTAAGGGAGTCATTTGCTCTAACCAACTATTTTATTTAAATAAATTATTTGTTTTCTAACGACTAACGAGTTCATGCATTCAAATAAAATTATCTGGGACTTGTTTTGACACTGCACTTAACAAACGCTGCACATTTTGTGGCCTATCAATTACATGGCTTATAGTATTTCTTCGCATACTTCATTATTAACATTATTTATTAAAAAGGATTAGACCACTTGCAATATTTCCGAGCACTAACAACAAATTACACACCTTTTCTGAATAGTCAAGGAAATCTTTTTACTCACCACCCTTGACTCAATGGGCTGTCTGACGAAATTAATGAGCTTCTTTGTGGAGTCAGATGAGTTGTAGGTATACTCATATTTGAATAGAAAAGATTGACATCATTTTTTTTAAGTTTCTTAACCTTAAATTTGTCACTTAATCATTCCTTCATGCTTAACTTGCAGTTTCACTTTATAAAACGGATCACTGAGACTTGAAATGATTTGTTTTAAATTCGTAACTTAACCTTTTTCCTCCTAATTTTTGATAGCTGTCGGATAACCTTTCATTTAAATATTATATTAACCATATGAGTTCGATCGGCTTCATAAAGCGCATTCTATGACCAGGCCATCTGCACTGCCGAACGAAAAAGCCTAGTTTTAAGGCGTTCGTGAACAAGCCCAATTAAAATTAAATTGTTCGTAACTCCAGCATATCTTATTTTCAGCTAGTTATTACCTATAATTTAACTAAATAGCCATGATCATGGTGGAACAGAAGTCTTTCAAAAAAGTGAAATCGTGTTTAGTGGATAGATTTCCTAATTGTATTCTCCCTTCAGGTCGTTTATTTACGCTCTACTATTTCGAGACCGTAATATTTTCTATCTCATTTGGTATAATATTGTTTCTTATGCATTTTAAAATGTAAGCCGAATTGTAGCC